ACTGCACTCCAGTCTGGGTGACAGAGTGAGACTCCAACTCAAAACAAAAAAAAAAAGAAAGAAAAAAAGAAATGTGGACTCTATGGCTCTAACTCAGACTTCTAAAGTCAGAATCTGCATTTTACTAACCTCTCTCGGCAATGCACATGTGCACTAATGTTCAAGAAGCCCTGGGGTAACCTTCAACTGCCCCTTCCCCTGCTGCACTAGCCTCAGGGCTATGTCTACACAGCAGAAGCACTTCTACCTCAAGGTTGCTGCACTGACTGCTTCCTCTGCCTAGAATAATCATCCCCAGATAATTGCATACTAGATACCTTACTTTCTTCAGGTCTTTATTCAAGTCAAGTTTTCATTAAACACTTTCTAGGCCATCCTGTTGAAAATTCCACTCTGAAACCCTTTCTATCCTTTTCCCCACTTGGACTGCTTAAGGCCAGGAATTTGAGACTAGCTTGGGCAATACAACTAGACCCCGTCTCCACAAAAAATTAAAAAAAAAAAAAAAATTAGGTGGAAGCTGAGGTGGGAAGTTTTTTGTTTTTTTGCCAAGTTGCCCAGGCTGGTCTTAAACCCATGGGCTCAGGCAATCCTCTCACCTCTGCCTCACAAAGTGCTGAGATTACAGGCTTGAACCACTGTGCCTGGCCAAGACTACTTCTAAACAACCTGGGCAACTTGGTGAAACCTCATCTCTACAAATAAATAAAAAAATTAGTTGGGCGTGGTGGCATGCACCTGTAGTTCCAGCTACTCGGAAGGTTTAAGGGTCGCCTAAGTCCAGCAGGTCAAGGCTATGGTAACTGTGAGCGTGCCACTGGACTCCAGTCTGGATGACACAGTGAGACTTCGACTAAAAATAAATAAATAAAAAAAATAAAAGTATAAAGGGGCTAGTGTTTTTGTCTGTTTTGATCATTATTTTATATCTAATGCCTGGAATACTGGCACACAGTAGACATTCAGGAACATTTTTACTGAATGAATTGGATTTAGTAACTAGGTAGCCTGTAGAAAAGTCCTGGAGAGCAATTTCATATAAATAATGAGGTCAAAACGCAGGTATTAATGAGGTGAAAAATGAATGTGAGAGAAGGAAACAATTAATAAATACAGCCTATTTTTTAAGCACTCTAAAGAATATTAAAATAATTCATCTTAGGAATTAGCTAGCACTTCAATCTATTAGTTAATACATTTCCTCTTTGGCAAACAACTTCCATCTAGAAAAAGATAAAAAATTCAAGTGGGACATATTTTCAAGGGAAGAGGTGGACTATTGTTTATTAACCTTCTTTCTATATTTCTTTTTTTTTTTTTGAAAGCAGGATTTATTGAGAGAACAGAAAACTCCTCGAGTGGGAGGGGACCTGAGGGGGTTGCTCTTTTCTATATTTCTTTACATATTTGTCCAAACATCCCATGGAAAGGAGATTGGGAAGGGAAAAAGGAACAGAAGTCACTAAAGCTCCTAAGCATCTTGAATAAAAAATCTGATCTTTTAAACAAAGATAAATATAAAGATAAAGATGAAAATCATTTTAAAGTCTTTGGCAATTTGAACAGAAAATATCACTGTTTTTTAGAGCTAGCTCTGTGACAAGAATTTCCTTAATGGTGACTATGGAGTTGTTTAAGCTGGAGTGACCAGTGTTAGCTAGACCCCACATATTGCTGTACCAGTTTCCAGGTACCGGAGCACTGTAAAAGATGGCTGAATGCAGATTACAAAGCAGGTCCCGATGGCTCTCACTCTCTCTGCAACGTGTAAGAAAGGTACCTTCTATTCTTATGATACGAAACCACTTCTTCAGCACCTTGTACTCTGTTGGAAGCTTGTTTTGAAGCCTATGCAAAGGCCCCACTTCCGAAGTGCCTGCTTACCCCACTGTAGCCAGATCATTACTCTCCTTGGAGCCATCTTCATCTGCAAAAAGAGGCGGCAGGGTGGAACTAGTCATCAAGCTTTCCATCTCTCTGAAAGGAAAAGACAATAAGAAAAATAATTAATGGCTTAATTACTTCCAGTTCAAGTTGCACTAATTTAAGAGCCAGCCTGCCTTAGCTTTATCACATCAGCAGCAGAATAGAAACTGACCTCAATATTTATTTTCTCAACATGGACACATCAATTTAAACTGTATGGTTAATGGGCTTTTAAACCCTGTTCTTATCAACTGACCAGACTAAAAACAAGTTAGATTTTAACAACTGGGACACGGTTTGGAAAATTCCTTTGTATTCATCCAGAGTATCTTCATAAGCATTCTTCATTTCCTGTAGAAATTATTAAGCAGAGTAACTCAGAAGCACTACAACCCTAAGCAAGTTATTTAACCTCTCTGAGCTAAATTTCACCATCTTTTTTTTTGTTTTGAGTTGGAGTCTCATTCTGTCACCCAGGCTGGAAGGCAGTGGCACCCTCACTGCCACACCAGCACTGACATGCTGGGCTCTGGCGATCCTTTGGTCTCAGCCTTCCAAGTAGCCGGAAATACAGGTGCATGCTACTGTGCCCGGCTCATTTTTAATTTTTGTAGAGATGAAGGCTCTCCAAGTTTTCCGGGCTGGTCTCGAACCCGTAGGCTCAGACAATCCACTCGTCTTGGCCTCCCAAAGTGCTGGGATTACAGGCTGAGCCACCGAACCCGGCCAAATTTCACCATCTTAAGACACAGACAAAATTGCTGACTTAACCCCCAGTGCTATTGTGGGAGATTAAACTGAAAGAGCTTCATAAACAGAGAGGCTAAGATAGTAAGTGCTTTGAGTACTATTACATAAAGAAAGGTATTGTTGTTTCAGCATTACCAGTCCTCAGTCCCAGATGAATCATCCTTAGGTTAAATGGTGACAAACTGAGCCCTCCAAAAGGAAACAATGCAAAGGAAGTGGAGGGTGGAAGGCATACCGATGTGGTTCTGAGTCAAAGAAACCACACTTCCAGGTCAGAACTATGCTCCACATCACCAGCCCAGCCTAGAGCAGAAATAGCCTGCACCTGGGCACAGGAAACAACTAAGCTAATTGAAGAAAACAAATAAATCACAAGAACTTGAGGTTATCAGACAGAAAAGGATAAAAGGACAAAGTGACAAAGAGAGTAATTTCATTTAGCATATCACTACAAAGAAAGATTTTTCCCTTTCAAGGCTTACCACCCAGGGCTTCACCCTCTAACTGAAAGCGGCAGCCTTCCATTCATCATGAAAGCGATATTCAAACAAAACATTCAACAGTGACCCCAAAATCAGCCACTTAAGGAGAACTGCAAAGCACTCAATAGAAGAGTGCCTCAATCAACTGGGGAACTTGAGAAGCAAATTATGGGAATTCACTCAGGAGCTTCCTCAGCAGTTATTTCAGGTGCTGCTGCTAAGGAGACCTGAGACCCAGCAATTAAGAGGAAAGCACAGCAGCAGCCAAGGCAGTGAGGTTCACCCCGCTGAGGTGGGAACTCGAGTGACATGCGGGCAACACTAACAGAGCACTCTCAATGTTCAAAAGGGTCATTTTTTCCAAAAGATAACACTGATGTTTTATTTCTTATTCTTATTCATTTTCACTTTTAAATTTATTATTTAACAGGTCAAGTTTCAAAAATAGCTTAATGTGAAAAAAAATGCATCTCTGTACAGACATGACCCATGATAGTGGGCAGAGTATGGAAGGCAGAGAGGAGCTTCCCACTCTGCCACAGGAGGTCTCTCCCACAGATGGAATGCCTACTCGCTTCAAGATAGCAGTTTAAGCCAAGCTCGGTGGCTTAGCCTGTAATCCCGCGCCTTTGGGAGGCTGAGGTGAGTGGATTGCCTGAGCCTGCGGGTTCGAGACCTGCCTGGGCAGC